ACAGCAGGAGAAACAGAAAGTACCCTTTGCATTTTGAAAAGCCAGCCCTTATTAAGAAGATGCAAGCAAACAAGCTTCCAGGGACTGGCTAATGGAAGAGAGAATACTCTTTCAGGCCTACAAGGCAGAAAAGCATAACAACTCACATGGTAGTGGGCCCACAATAATAATAGTGGAAGAATGACTTCAAGAAGCCAGTGGCAGGCAAGAGCAGGTTTCTGGGTAGAGAAAAGTCTCAGTCCTACCTTGTCTCTGTTGTGAGTTGTTGTTTTTAAAGCATATCTGACCTGGGTAAGTCAGTTTCCTCCCAGAACTTAGTTCCCTCAACTACAAAGTAGGCATATTCAGACCAACCCTGCAGAGTTGGGAAGTTTCACAGTGATGTACAGCCATGCCCAGCAGAGAGCCCTCGTCCTCAGCCGCATTGTTCCCAGCTCTGCCCCGCCACTGAGCATGGCCCTCCATTCCCAGGGTGAATTGTTTTACTTCTGTGGATGTGGCTCCTCTCTGACTCAGTCCCTTCATGGTTGTTCATTCCCTCCACCCACACATCCCGTCCCTTGGAAGGCCACATTCTGGAATGCAGCCTAGAAGTTGGTGACTGCCACTGACATGTTCTCATCCTGTCCCTCTTGCACAGTGGGAGAGTCCCAATGTCTTATGTGTTGTCTATGATGTGACCAATGAGCAGTCCTTCAACAACTGCAGCAAGTGGCTAGAGAAGGCTCGGTCGCAGATTCCAGGCACTTCCCTCCCAGGTAGGGGCTGCAGACACCTGTTTCCCAGCAGCGCCTCTGCCCTTCAGTTCAAGAGCACAAGGTCATTGCAGAGGTAGTGCAAAAAAGAGGTGGGTGCAAAAAAGGGGGCCCGGGGCTTTGACTTGGATGGCCAGAATTGTACACTGGCTCTGACTCATCAGCCACACAAGCCTCAGTGAGTTACTGTGCCTCTCCAAGTCCGTAAAATGGGAATGATGACACCCACCTTGCGGGGTCATGGGGAGACTCAAGATGATAAGGGGAAGGTGCTGTGATATGAGTTGTTGTTTCCAGAAAGCTAACCCTAGGGAAGAATTCCTCATTTTCTCCTGCATGTGCAGTACAATTAAACATTCAAGGCCTGTTGTTCTTCTGAATGCTTTAAATCAGTTTATTTTTCATCCCTATGTGAGATCAACAAATTCTCCTCATTATAGACCAGGGAAAGTGATCTCCAGAGACAGGCTCAAAAATTAGCTGCAGCTGATGCAGCTGGGAACAGAACTAAATTACCTCTGAATCCCTGACTCGGAGCTGAGTCCTTAGATTAGTATTAATGACCATTTTTAAAGTTTGCTCCATGTGCTAGGAATTATCACAAATGCACACATAAACTTAGTCCTCGCCTTTACTGTGCTCGTGGCCTTAAGGAGACAAGGGTGATGGATACACATGAAGTCTAAAAAGAAGGCTGAGCAAAAGCTGCACACAAAAAGCAGAGCCTGCTTGTTTTCTCTGTGACCCTTGGGGCCAGCACAAGGGACCCTAGCTCTCCCTTTTGGGGCTCACTACCTCAAATGAGGCAGCCTCTCTCATACAATGTTTTCTGCCTGCCCCACAAAATAGCATGCTTGCTCTTTTCTCTCTTCAGCTGTGCTCCCAGACTGCAACAGTTACATGCAATGTTTTGGTTGTTTCTTTTGAGTAGGTGTTTTAGTGGGGAATAAGACAGACCTGGCCAGCAGACGAGCAGTGGACTCAGCTCAGGCCCAGGCGTGGGCGCTGGGCCAAGGCCTGGAATATTTTGAAACATCCGTGGTGAGTATCTCCACTCACTCCATGGCCAAGTCTGGAGTGGGCCTCTGCTGGAAGTGGTTGTTCACATGACCTCACATGCATTGTGTTGCTATTCCACCATATGCAGAGTCTAATTTGGAACTGATGTTTGCATTCTTAACCCAAGATCTTTTCTCAGTATAGCAAGAGTCATCATGCATTACAGTAAAGCAGATCAACCAGCCAGCCAGCCCTGGGAAAAGTTGCATCTTGATTGTAAGAAATACAAGTATATTGTGATCAGTTGTCATGACCCATGACGTTGACATGAGCTCTGATGGGTTGTGGTGGTGTTGGAACGTTATTTCATTTAGCCCTCATGATCAGTCCTGTGAACCAGGAGTTGGCCCCACAATTCCCATTTCATTGTTGAAGAGGCAAAGTAACTTGCCCAAGGTCACATGACTGGTAAAGAGTGAGCCAAGACTAGGACTCATGGTTTCTAATTCTCATCGGTGCTCCCTGTCCCCACCTCACTACAGCCCAAGGGTGACTCCAGGCCACAAAGTGCCCTCCAGTAAAGTCAGCAGGAGTCCTCATTAAGTGGGAAAGTGAACAGATGCCATCTGTTACCAGCATCTTTAGTGCACATACACCATGATTTGGGCTGTCTAGCACTGTTGAACCCCCTTCCTAGGTTTGGGAGTATTGAAGTCCCAGCCTCCCTGCAGTCAGGGTGCAGGCATGTGACCCAGGCTGCCCCCGTCAGATGCCGTGTGTGAGATCTGCCCTCAGGAGCAAGAGTGGCCCAGAAACATCCATCTTGGAGCCTGCAATGGCCAAGGTGCTGGCTGTCATGCCCCTCACCAGGGCTGCTGGGGAGACCTGCCAGGCTAGGCACAGCCACAGTTGTGACTTGGACCTCGCTTTGTGGCCTCCAGACCTTATTCTTCGGCCCTCCAGGAGTCAGTGGGCTAGTTAACATTCCGGATGTCGTCTTACTCAAACTCTACTTCTGCTACAGACACTTGGGTTGCTGCATCTATCAAACTTGACCGATGCTGCTGTATGGATGTGAACTCTTAAAATGTCCCCAAAGTGGCATGCTTCCTTGAGGAAAGTGTAGTGGTTAAAGGCAGGTGCTCTGATGTCCAATAGGAATAGCAGAACTAGCCACGGGACCCTGGGCAGGTTATTTAACATTGGTGCCTCAGGCTCCTCACCTTTAAAATGGGGATAATAAAATACATCCCTCATTGAGTAATAAATATGAGAATTAAATAAGGTGGTGAACATAAAAACACTTAGCACAAAGTCTGGCACACAGTTAACACTCAGTACATGTTACTTTTTTAAAGTGTGTATCTTCCCTGTAGTAATCTTATTTGTACTATTACAAGTATTACTTACCAAATCCTTGTATTTGTAGCACATAAAAACACTTAGCACAAAGTCTGGCACACAGTTAACACTCAGTACATGTTACTTTTTTTAAGTGTGTATCTTCCCTGTAGTAATCTTATTTGTACTATTACAAGTATTACTTACCAAATCCTTGTATTTGTAGTTTGCAAGAGAAAAATGTCACCCTTGCCTCTGGTCTAATTATCACAAACGCCAAATTAATGAAGTTCAAATTAGTGAGCTTTTACTGTGTAGAGGATTCCTCATCTTTTATGCAGCACACCTTGGAGCAAAGCAGTAAGCTAACTACCCATAGCAAGCAATATTTCAGTATTCCCTCTTCCTCCATTCACACTTGTGAAATTGTCCCATCACCCCAATATTCCCACATTCCCCAGAACTCTTGATAGAACTCAAAAACTAAAACCCACCCCAAACACATTAGTCACCAAAGGTCATTGGGCTGCGTGTATCAACTGTGTTCAGGTGTTGAAATGGGTGGGTATAAATTGTGCTTGAAGAAGCTACAGTTAAGCACTTGGTATTAACTGTGCAAGTTAACTAGTCCCCCCTGAGTTGATGCTAACAGAAACTCTACTGGCAGCTCAGTTAAGAAAGCTGTAATTAAAAAGGAAATATAACCAAATGCCACCTGAGACACAGCCAGGCCTGGATGTCATGCCTATCTCTTCCTCTCACCTTCCTAACACGACCGCAACAGCTTGGTAACCCACAGGAGGCACCTGCATGTTTTTTTTTATCTTTCTAACACCCCTCAATATTTGAAATTTTTAGGGCAAAAAATTAAAAAGCAATTCATTAAACAGAAGTTAAAAATTTTTTTAAAAAACATTGTTAATCACCATAAGAAGCTGGACAGTATTAAATACAAACAAGTTCAGGAACAATCCATAGGGATGACTGCCCTTCAGGCAGGCGAGGAGCAGGGAACTAACATTTGTTGAGGACCTCTGAGTGCTAGGTATGTCACACACATTATCTATTTAAGCTTCACAACAGCCCTGCGAGACAGCTGCCCCTATCTGTCCTTGGTGTATGGATGACTAACAGACTCAGAAAGGTTGTATACCTTTCCCTGGTGGCACAGCTAACCTTGTCCTAGAAGCAGGACTAGGACTCAGGCCTGTCCAGCTGGAAAACTTGGGCCTTGTAGAAGGGGACTCTGGCCTCCCACAGAGCCTGCTTTGGGGCTCGTGAGACAGAATTCTAGGTCAGGATGAGCACTAATCTGAGCCTGCCATAAGGATCCTTCACTCTAAACAGGCCTACTCTATAGGTGTCCAAACTGTACAAGCGAGATTATGATTAGTCATTGGACAAAAGGATTCCTGTCACTCACTGGCAACCTTCTTAAGGCACTGGAAAGTGGTTCAATTTACGTCTATTTCAGGAGCACTCCATGGTGTCTATTGAGGCTAGCCTGCATCAGATTCCTTAATTTTTATATTGGGTCCTCCCAAGCTCAGGCTTTGGAGAGCTTTTGAATTCATTTAGAAATCCTTGGACAAGTGTTATGTAGGCCTCATTCCCCTTCCGTTCAGTACTTAACCATACTGTCACCCGATGTAACATTTTACTATTTGAAATTAGCCTTGCCTAGGACATTATACTCTGCACTCCAGAGGTGCCTTGCAGATGTAACAGTTCTTTTTCTTATGTCCAGCGGGAGGGTGACAGCTTTCGGGTCCTTGGCAATTGTGAACTTAGTACAGATGCTCGTCTCAGCAACGAACTGTCTACTCCCTGCTCAGCACGATCTTAGCTTTACAGCCTGTTTTGGCTCTTGGCCAACTACTTGCTTGGGATTTCCCTTGCTAGAGAGTCCAGGTAACTTTCTCCACGTGACCGGGTTTCCTTTGCACATTTCTCTCATCCTGGCTGGCATAGTGGCAACGCTGCTCTTCTCAAATCGGGGAGCTGGGTGCCAGGCTGGGCTCTGCGGGAACCAGCTGGGCCACTTCACCCCTGGGCCTCAGACTACTGATCTGTAAAACAAAGGCTCTGTGGTTGATGACTTGCTGCTCTTCTCAAATCGGGGAGGTGGGTGCCAGGCTGGGCTCTGCAGGAACCAGCTGGACCACTTCACCCCTGGGCCTCAGACTACTGATCTGTAAAACAAAGGCTCTGTGGTTGATGACTTCTGTAACATTCTTCAGTTTAGAAACTCTTCCCTTCCATCAGGGATATTTCACTGCCTCTTGTCAAGGCTGCACTTTTGCCAGCTGCCAAGGATCATTTCCAAACAGGTTCTTATGCTGCTGCTTGAAAGTAGTGGGTTCTTTCTTCTGCCCACTTAATTCTCAAAAAAAAATTAAAGGGCACACACGCAGAGAGCAGAAGCTGTTAAGTGAGAGGGTGCCTTTTGCTTTCCCCCACAGCCTGGCCGTGCTAACCCTGGAGAGCCCACTCTTTCCCACCACTTAGATAAAATCTAGGGCAAGTTCCTTCACTTTCCTGATCTCTCTCAGATAATAAAAAGTCCTTTGGGAACCTTTACTCACAAATATTTATTATTTCAGTTCTTAAAATGCCAGTCCTGTGTGATCGTCAAAACTCTGGACTTGATTTAAAGTTGTGCCTCCTCCTGCAGCCTGTGGGGAAAGAGGAAAGACAGGGGTGAGGTGTGCCAGGCTGGGAGCACTTTGGAGGTGCCCCTCCCCACCCCCGTCGGTGGGACCAGCTCACTTGCAGCCTCCCTCTCCTGTAGCCTTTGTTTTTGGCCATCATTTTTGTTGGGATCCATCACCCTCCCAGAGGCAGTTCTGGCAGAGTCCCTTTCAGACAGCTCCAGGCTGGCTCCTGCTTGGCCCCCACTGGGCCAGCGAAGCGCTGCGGCAGCCTTTTAGATTAACAGAGAGGCAGTGCAGCCATCCAGTTGGCAGCCCTCTCCTGGCTTGGCCATCAGGACAGCCAGCCCCACCTCACCTCGATTCTTCCCCGGGCTGGGTCCAGCACCAGCCTAGGTCCCTAGGCTTCAGGCTTTCTCTTGAAAGCCTCTCACCCAACCTGAGGTGAGGATGAGGTGGTCTTACCCTGGGGGGATATGACACAGCCCCCACCACTCCGTCGAAGAAGTCCTCTCTTCTGGTCTCTCCAACCCTGACCTTGAGGTAGAGCTGGGCCCATCCTGTATGGTTCTTCCTCCAGAGCCTGGGGCTTCTTGCCATCTGCTATTCTGCCTTGGCCTTTGGGGCCTCAATCGAAACTAAGAGAGAAGGGGTCTCATTTTAACATCCTGTCACACATATAGCCAGAGTGGCTGAGAGTACAGGCTCTACAGACATAGGTTCTGACTCCGGCTCCACCATTTCCAAGGTGTGTGGCTCTCTGCAAGTTACCTTAATCCCTCCGTGTCTCAGTTTCCTTCTTGTACAGTTGGCATAATGATAGTAGCTCCCCCACATGGCATGAAGATGAGGTGAGCGGAATGACATTAGGTGGGCACTGAGCGAGGGTTGGCCCTCTGTGATTATATAAGTAAAGCAGCCGGCTTCTTAAACTGTCTCTGCAGAAGGAGATGGAGAACTATGAAGCCCCTTTCCACTGTCTGGCCAAGAAGTTCCACCACCTGTACCGGGAGAAGGTGGAGGTGTTCCACACATTGGCATGAGGGCAAGTGGACCATGCCGCAGGACAGCGCAGTGCTGCATGAAGCTGGCGGTGGGCTTGGCTCCTTGGAAGACAAGAGAAGATGGAAGAGCCTCTGCACTTGCAGTGTATCGTGACACTTTTAAATAAAATGAGGAGAAAATGTGGAACAGCAGCTCCTTCCGTTCTTGGCTGGGCAGCCCTGGCTCTATTGTACACTGTGGCTGCCATGTCACTGCGGTCCCAGAGTGGCCCAGGAGCCCGCTGGGGAGCGTGCGGCCCTCCCTTCTGTGGTGGGAGGTACTGCAGGCTGTCACCTTGTTAGAGCGGGTGGGCCTGCCCACCTGCATTGGCTGGGTGCGCACAGCTCCCTGCAGGGCCTTCCACTGAGAAAGCAGGTCCTACAGCAGGTTTTGAAAGGGCCCGCACCAGCCTTTGCTTACAATTTGCCACAGCTGAAATGCCCAACTTGGAACTTCCCCATGGCTGAGATGGGGCTGGTGTCCCACTCCATACTCAACATTTGGCATTGCTGCCTGGTCCTGGCTGTCCAGGTTCCAGAGGTGGCTGCTGTCACTGACAAAACAGTGCCCTCTGCCGGCCTGCCTTGGTGCCCATTGCTCAGTGAAGGGTCCAGCCTCTTTCAGCTGCTGGGAAACTTGGGTGCTGAGGCAGCCAAGGGCTCGGCCACTTTCCTTTAATGACCCTCCTCTCAGTGAGCCAGGCAGCAGTCCTAATTCTTTGCAGCTTGACTGTTTTCCATCCTGTCTCTGCTGCCAGTTTAATCTTCCTAAAACACCTCGCCATTTCACTCCCCTGATTAAAAGACCCACAGAGGTTCCTCACTGCCTTTACATCAGGGCTGCAGGCTATGTCCTGGTGTACAAAGCCTTCTGTGACTGTCACCCTCCCTCCAATTCCCGTGCCTCCACCTTATGGGAGGGGGGCATTGGGCAAAGAGCACCGGCTTTGGGTCGACAGACCTGGGTTTGTCCCAATGCTGGTGACAGTAATGGAAATTACTCTGGTTACTGTTTATGACCTGCCATGTCTCTACACGAGCTAAGCTCATTACATATATTAGCTAATTTAGTCTTTACAATGTAGAGTCTGTTAACATCCCACTTTTACAAATGAGCTGGAGTCAGAGAATTAAACTAAGCCAAGAGGCGGCAGAGCCAGGATTGGGGACACCAGAGCCCGGCTCACAGCCACCATCCTCTTCTGCCTACCTGCAGACAAGCCAGGAGCAGGTGGAGGTCTTGCCATCTGCAAAGGGTGAAGACTAGGCTGCCTGTTAGTCCTCAACATGAAGCCACATAGCCATGACTGTACTACTGCGTCATTCCTTCAGAAGATAGTTACCAAGGGCCTACAATGTGCCGGGCATCTTCCTAGGCACAGCAATGCCAGACTGCTGGTCTCATGTCCCATATTGCAAAGGGGAAGGTCCACAATGAACAACCAAGGGGACATGGAGAGGGGCATTACCAGTTGCTCCAGAATTGTTTACCAGGGCCCTCAGTTATGGACAAAGAGATGCTAAGCAGGTCACTGCTTAAAGAGATCACCAGAGGAAGGCCCAGACCCTAACTCTTGGCCCTGCCACTGTGAGCCACCCCGACCGCTCTGCTCCCCTCTCTTCCCTGTCTGAATAAGACTGAAGTGGTCAAGAGGAGGGAGTTGGGGGGGCACAGTGTTGGTAGTGGGCACCTCTCCCTGCCCCACCTTTCCCCACCCCAAGAACCAAGTGAAGGAGGCACCCAGAGACTCCTCCTGAGACTGAGGACTCTGCCAAGAAGGGGAGGATGCCTGAACGCCCAGCCTGATGCTTGCTGAGCTGCAGGAACCCAGTGCCAACTGCAGGCACAGGCTGACCCAGAGACTCCTCCTGAGACTGAGGACTCTGCCAAGAAGGGGAGGATGCCCGAACGCCCAGCCTGATGCTTGCTGAGCTGCAGGAACCCAGTGCCAACTGCAGGCACAGGCTGGTGAGGGCATCATTGGGGAAGCTCAGCACGCATCCTTGGAGTTGCACGCGGTTCCCTCCAGGGGATTCAGCAGGGAAAGGCTTGAGGAGAAGCCTGTACCAGCAGCAGGGAGAGTGGGGACTGTGTGTCTGGAAAGATGGCAGGCAGCGCTCCACAGAGGGCACCTGTAAGGACCCCTGTGGGGAGGAGTCATGCAGCCAGACAGGTCCTGGGCAAAGGGAGCTGCTTCCCCTGGGAAGGGCTGCAGGAGATATGGCTGCCCAAGCAGACCAGACCCCAGCAACAGAGGAGACTCACCCCAAACTACCATGCACCCCATCTCCATGGAGATGGCAGCAGATGGAATCAGACCAAGAGCAGGCCTGTGGGGGAGATAGGCATCTCACCCCTCACCCTCTGTTCCAAGGACCCCAAGAGGGGAAGAGAAAAAGACCTTGCTCCCCTCCCCACCTTCCTGGAGAAGAGATTCAGAGACTTGGAGGTTTGAACTGTCCTGGTCTGAGTTTTAAGGACTAAGCGCCTGAAATGGGTTGGGATCAGCCTGTTACAAAGACTGAGCAGGAGGTGGGATTTGGCAGGGCAGGGTGGAGGGAAGTAATTACAAGTCAAATGGTGGAGGTTTGGAGCCCACTAACTTGAGATTCCCCAATAAGCTGGTTCTACAAGTACATACGTGATCAAGATGACTTCAGACAATGAAGACAAGGAAATGGAATTGTGGCTAGGTGATGGTTTGTGAGGTAACTGGGCTGGGTAGGCAAGAAGGACTCTGAGGAGCAGTGACATCTAAGCTGAGATCTTATGGCCATGTGACCATCTGGGGGAAGAGCTCTCCAGACAGCAAGGACAGCAAGTGCAAAGGCCCTGAGGCATGAACAGCTTTGAGCATCAAGTAACCTAAGGCCAATGAAGACACAGCCAGGAGTGCGCCGGGAAGAGCAGAAGAAGGTGAGGGAGGCAGGGGCCGCAGAGGGAGGAATTTGCATTTTATTCCAGAGGCAGCATGGAGGATGGCCATCATAGCTCTTATATCCTTATATTTGGGACCTAGCAAGTGGTTATTAATTACTTCACTTGCCTGAAGATGCCACTCTCAATGAGCAGACATTTATAAAATGCATGCCATGTCTGCAGATTTTATACTGGAATGAATCCATTTGCTGGATGAATGCTTGAATCAAGCATTTGCTGACCACCTACTATGTGCCAACCCCTGTTCTAGGTGCTGGGGATTTGCCAGTGGGGATACAAAAATCCCTACCCTCAGGGTGCTTGCATTCTAGTGGAGTGAGAGAGATGTTCAATTAAACTGGTAAATTATACCGTCCATCAGATGGCGATGAGCAGGGGGGACAGAGGGCATGCCAGGGAGGGGGAGATGCAATATCGAATAGGGAGATCAGGGGGGACCTCACTGTGAAGGTGACATTTAAGCAGGATTTGAAGGAGGTCAGAGCAACCGGCACCCTGTAGGCATGGGCGGTTCATCAGCACCCCCTCAGAGGTGGAGCCTGACCACAGTGGTCCATCCCTGCTTTCCTTCCCCAGTGCCCAGCACTGAGACTCAGTAGGATGAGCACGGATGTGTGCACAGACACTGAGAGACCTCTGAGTTGGATCAGACTCAGTCCCTGTCCTAGAATCACCCACAGTCCATGGAGGAAAAAATTGAACCAACACTTGATTTCTAAACTCCAGTGGAATCCAAAACGTGTTCCAGCCAATGTCTCCCAAATGCTGTGGGATGGTGAAGGAACCAAGCCTCTGTCTCCTTTAGGATTGCAGAGAAAGGTCTGTTCATTGTCCC